ATTTTCACCCAAATATCTCTCAGAGGGGCGTGGGGAGTGGCTCCTTATTTTCATCTAAAGTAACAGACAGAGAATCAGCACTTTTGAAACAGGGCTGAAACAGAGGGGATTATGGGATGCTGCAATGATCTATTTGGTGTTTGGAGCCAAACACTTCAGAGACATGATTTGTATATATCTGAGACCTATAATATATTGATGAAAAACAGTATAATAGGGGACCTTTAAAGGAAGTGACCCTACCTGAGTGTGTGAGGTGCATCAGAGCCCAGGAGGCCACCTGCTGCTCTCGAGGGTCGTAGGATTTCGCTAAAGCCAGCAGAGGCTTCACTCCCTCCAACATGACAGTCTCTCTGTTCGACTCTGCACGAAAATACATGTTAAACTTTCAAAAGTCAAAGTGAACTTTATTGTCAATCTTTCAGTTTGTGTGTACAGACAGAGAGATCAAAATACCGTTTCCCACAATCCCGAATACAAAAACAAATATATATAAAAATATGTAACAGCCAGACACCGAGAGAATAATTATTATTAAACAATTTAAAGACCTTAAATCCTTCTGCACCCACCTGAGGAGGCGAGGAGGCAGACGCAGGCGCAGGAGTGGCTCTGAGCGCTGGAGTCTCCGGACCGGATCAGATCCAGGATCGGAACCAGCATCCCCATCTCAACCACAGAGGCTCTGCACACTGACACCATATTACAGTATATGCACGGTTATTATGACCCTATTCATTGGATTAATTTAAGATGTGATTGTGGATAACAATTAGATTTAAAAAAAAAGCAATATTAAAAACATGATTCCATTAGAGGGACATCTCTAAAATGTTGACCAATAACAACAGAGCCGGCCAGCTAACCAATCAGAGCAGACATGTCACAGTAGTGACAATACATACTGATATACACCTGAACATCAGCAGGAGAGGACTCTTTAAAGTAGAGATACTACATACTGATATACAACTGAACATCAGCAGGAGAGGACTCTTTAAAGTAAAGACACTACATACTGATATACACCTGAACATCAGCAGGAGAGGACTCTTTAAAGTAGAGACACTACATACTGATATACACCTGAACATCAGCAGGAGAGGACTCTTTAAAGTAGAGAGGACTCTTTAAAACACCTTGTGATTTCGTATCTCTTACCGTTGTTCTTCACTAACAGATTGACTAAAGACAGAGAGATGGTTTTCTGAACATCCAGGTCAGATGATAGCAGTAAGTTCATGACCGGCTCCAACAATGCGTCTGGTAGAGGAGACTTCACTGAAACACACAGAGCAGGAAACACTGGTTATTGTGGGTGAAGAAGCAGCGTTTTTGGGATACTAGTACTGTGAATAACGGCACTTAAAACCTGTTAAGCCCCAAAGACCCCGTCGGCGGGTCCTTTTTTTTCCACAAATTAAATTAAAAAAAAATATTTTTTTTTTAATTTTATTTTTTTTAATTGAATCTTTTAATTTTAATTTTGTTTTCTTTGGATGGAATGAATACCTATGGTGATAATTCAATGTAATACACCATTTTTATAGTCTGGTACCTGAAAAAGGTCAAATGGCACTGATGGAACCAGATGTACCCAAATGTGCCCAAAGCTTATTCCGCCTGGACTTATTTTTGCTAAACCTCTCTAAAAAGGTCAAATTTCACTTGTTTTGCCTCAATCTTGATACAGGGTACTTATTATATGTTATACTTTGGATTCCTAAAGCTTTTAGTCTACCATCCCATCATTCAAGGGTGGTTTTCACTATAAGTAATGTTTTTTCTTTAGGCGGAGGTAAGAATTTACCTTTTTTTGCTATGTTCCATCTGAATTTACTCTGACTGAGAAAAATCTATATTGATTCTGACACTTCTACATCCAACTCACAGATGTAACCTTGCTTTGATAAAATAAATTATTCATATAACCCTTTTAGAAGTTAAGTTGTAGTCATTTGTTTTGGGCATGTCATTTTCGAGCCTGAAACCTGAAAAACAGGCTCGGGGCTTAACAGGTTAAGCCCACACATACAGGGAATTATCTGCCAACCCTAGAAAGAAAATTACAGTTGATAATTTGCATAATAACCGTGCTGTCCGTTAGAGCTTATCTCTGCACAGGAGAGCAAACACACGTCTCATTACCTGCTCCACTTATCTGTAAACCATTGCTATAAAGAAGAAGATAGTGAAGCAACATAAAAATCTGTTTGGATTCTTTACTCACAGTGATGACTGAGCTGTAGATAAAACATGGCCGCTGTCTTCTGCAGCTCAATGTCCTCTGAAGCTGAGAGTCGGCTCAGAGTCTGAAGACTTTCCTCATCATGGAGCTGAAGTTCCTCATCTATAGGAAGCAGAGGGGGGACAAGTACTCAGATCCTGTACTTGAGTAAAGTAGAAGTACTCAGATCCTGTACTTGAGTAAAAGTAGAAGTACTCAGATCTTGTACTTGAGTAAAAGTAGAAGTACTCAGATCCTGTACTTGAGTAAAAGTAGAAGTACTCAGATATTGTACTTGAGTAAAATAGAAGTACTCAGATCCTGTACTTGAGTAAAATAGAAGTACTCAGATCCTGTACTTGAGTAAAAGTAGAAGTACTCAGATCTTGTACTTGAGTAAAAGTAGAAGTACTCAGATCTTGTACTTGTGTAAAAGTAGAAGTACACAGATCTTGTAGATGAGTAAAAGTAGAAGTACTCAGATCTTGTACTTGAGTAAAATAGAAGTACTCAGATCCTGTACTTGAGTAAAGTAGAAGTACTCAGATCCTGTACTTGAGTAAAAGTAGAAGTACTCAGATCTTGTACTTGAGTAAAAGTAGAAGTACTCAGATCCTGTACTTGAGTAAAAGTAGAAGTACTCAGATATTGTACTTGAGTAAAATAGAAGTACTCAGATCCTGTACTTGAGTAAAATAGAAGTACTCAGATCCTGTACTTGAGTAAAAGTAGAAGTACTCAGATCTTGTACTTGAGTAAAAGTAGAAGTACTCAGATCTTGTACTTGTGTAAAAGTAGAAGTACACAGATCTTGTAGATGAGTAAAAGTAGAAGTACTCAGATCTTGTACTTGAGTAAAAGTAGAAGTACTCAGATCTTGTACTTGTGTAAAAGTAGAAGTACTCAGATCTTGTACTTGAGTAAAAGTAGAAGTACTCTACTCAGTACCAGAGTGTAGGAATACTCTGTTACAGTAAAAGTCCTGTATTCAAAATGTTCCTCAAGTAGAAAAGTGAAAAGTATTGTCATCAAAATATAGTTAAAGTAGCGACAGTAAAAGTAGTCATTGCAGATTGGTCCATTTCAGAATAATATATATGATATGTTTTATAATTATATAAAGTGTTATCAA